TTGGTTGAATATAAATGAAATTCTTGGGTTTTGGAACTTTGAAATCTTGGTGAAACTATCGATTATAATACTTATTTGTTAGAGACTATGATGGATTTTTATGTGGATAAGTTTTGGTTATTCTTCGTCTAGGTATTGGACCTATACTTTGTTATTGGATCGTATGTTGGTCTTGTTTTAATCCAAGCGAGGTGGATTTAATATGAATTTATGAATTGTTTGAGTTTTGATGCTTTGAAGCACGCCTTGGCACTTGAAAACATACTTACAAAGATAAGTTCGTTCTCAAGAGATATGGGGATGCTATGATATAAAGAGAGACTTATATACACCACGATTATGCTGTTAAAATTAAGATTTATTGGTGGTACAAGCTTGATGGTGGAGAACATCGGCTAAAGAACCATGAATATGTACTTCTCGTAAAATATCTACAATTAAATTGTTAGGAGTGAATCATATAAGATGATTGTTATGTTATTGATTATTTTTTATTGATCTCAACAAGAGTACACTGAGAAATTTGATTATATTTATAGTACCTTTTACGATTATGGGTTCAAAATCTCTCATGACTAAACTATTTTTTTTGGGTGTGTGGATGAATTTTCGATTAAGAAAATCTGAATACAAGAAAACCGTCACAAACTTCTCTACTCATGTAAAGGTATCAAAAATCTGATATCAAGTTATGAGTCTCCAATTGGTTGGTTTGAATGTTTTATAGTAGTAAGATGTATATAGCTTATGATGATGAGGTTTTTCCTACAGGATGCGGAAGCTTTCACCAATCTATTAAATGTATTGGCACTAGAGCACAAGAATCCATCAAATTTAGCATCCAAACACCAATTTGAGATAGCCAAATATTTTCTCGATCAAGCAAACAGAATGGGATGCAGGAGGTACTTTACCGCAAAAGATATTGTTGGAGGTACTTAAAATTAGAAAAGACATTTTGATGTTTTAATTTTGTTTCGAATATTTTTTTTGAGTGAGCGGTTGAATTGGTATGAAAAAAAAATGTTAGTCCTTAGTTGCCTGATATAAAAATACAAATCATATAATAATGGACAAAAAAGAGCAACATAAATTAATAAAAAAAAATAAAAACAA